TGCAACCCCCATTAAGGTTAAAAGTCCGAAACTAGTCACACGCATCTCTTTTCTTGGGGAAAAATGAGACTATTATACATTCTTGGTAGGTTTTGCAACCTTGTGTGAAGAGCACCCATTCCATTTCTTTCATCTTTCAGAAAGCACCGGTATCTGTTCCAAGGGCCTAACAGTACGAAAATGCATTCTGGCATCACACCTCTGAACTTTAGACCATTCTCATTAAAAAGAATAATTCTGGTTTGCAACAAGGAAACACTATGAAATACAATGCAAGCACCTCGGTATAGTGGTGTTACTGAAGCCCATTTATTCCCAGCTTTTTGAGTGAGTGATTTTAAGATCCTCTACACTAAGATTCACAAATTATAGCTACATACAAATCGAAACTAGTTTAGAATTGACTTAAGTCACAGGTTTCTCATTTCAAAGTGCAAAAGCCTACTCATCTTGAAATAAGCAGAAATGAAGCAAAATTAACCCCCCACCCCAATGATGTTCCTCAAGTCCATATATTGTAACAAGTACGTTCTCTCAAAATTGTTATTGACTGTTAAGAAATGAACCTGAGCTTTTATTTCTAAACACTTGAATCACTAAATCACGGTAGCAAGTGTTGGCCACCGATTTAATGGATTATGCCACAGGAAAATCCCATCGGGGTTGTATGTCAATTTAGCGACACTATTGTCACTAATATTGAGCATTATGTTTGAACTGCATTGTATTATTAACAAAGAGCTAAACTAGTCACCATTTGCTTTTTCACCTAACAGGAGAGTCAAGGTATTTGTTTGAATAGACTACGTATTAAAGTACAAATTTGTCCCCACCTTGTGAATTGCTTGCCAAAGAGCAAGCCATTTTTCTTGATACAATGGAAGAAAATTCTCATAGTCACGAAGAGTTTTCACCGGCATTTATGCAAAGTAAACCAAACTTCCAGTTACAGAGCAGAAAGCATTATACGTGAAAGCTGTTTCCATGCATGCTAGCTAAAAACCAGCTCGGAGACCAAAGTTAAGTTGAATTGAGGTCTGGAACAACAGTCGATGCAAAGCTTACAAAGCTGAAGTCCTAAGCAACCAAAGCTGCTTTTGAAGACTTTTTATTTTTTTATTTTTGGTAAGCATTTTGGATTATAACATCACATCCCTAAAGCTAAGGGAACCAAATTCAAAAATCTACTCTGAACATTTGCAGTCATCCTACAGAATACGACGAAGAAGTCTTAGGATTGGGAAATGATTCCCAACGTGTATTCAACTGCAGGCAAGTCAACATGCCACACCACTTTCCCCCAGGTTTAGAGCATAGACATATTTAGACAAGTCACGTAACTTGGAACTATTCACATTAGATTCCCATCTAAGCCCACGTTAGTAACAAAGGTATTCCCATGAAGCCCATTAAAAAAAAAATTTAAGTCACATTACAA